CAGGAAGACCTGAGTTCAAATACAGCCTCAGACACTTCACACTTACTAGCTGTGTGATCCTGGGCAAGTCATTTTACCCCATTGCCCTGTAAAAAAAAAAAAGAGAGAGAATGGAACAAGGCTGGACAATGACATTTAGCAAATGATTGGATATGTAAAAGAGCTCATTGGGTTGTGCCCAGTTGCTTTTCTCAGTCTAATCTCAATGTATCTGCTTCCTCATCTGTAAATTAAAAGAGTTATGATGATCTCCGAGGTCCCTGCCAGCTCTAAATCCCATGATTCCAGAAACTAGATTACTTCAAAGTTTGTATGAAATTTCTATGTTAAAATATGGCTTTGCAAAACCGTATCCAAAATATATATACTTAAAGCAATGCAATTTCTACCTATTGTGAAATAATAAATCTTAATAGGGGATTCTTGGCAGATTCCCTAAATGTGAAAACTCCAAAGAAAAGACTTGAATATGCAATTAGTTACAGAATATCTGCTAAACTCAAGAAGAGGTGAAAAGGGAAACTTCTGTGTTACATAGTACCTCCCCAGTCATTCAAAGGTAGAAGGGAAAGGGAAACATAACTGCTACAAAAAAATTGCAGTCTTCTACTGTTCTTTCTAGACTATACTGAAAGGGAGAAGAAGTAATCTGAACATTTATTTATCAAGACCAGCTTTTCAAATAACCTTAATAAGTATTAGGACTTATTCCCAAGACAGGAATTAAGTTTCAGGTGAATACTTTTTGTTGTTGTTGTTCAGTCATTTCAGTTATGTCTGACTCTTTGTGGCCTCATTTGGGGTTTCCTTGGCAAAGATAATGGAATGGTTCGCCATTTCCTTCTCCAACTCATTTTCCAGATGAGGAAATTGAGGCAAACAGGGTTACGTGACTTGCCCAAGGTCACAAATCTAGTGTCTCAAGCTGGTCTTCCTGACTCCAAGCTCTTCCCTCTATCCTCTGAGCCACCTAACTGCTCCTGAATATTTTTTAGCTGTCTCCAAACTATTTGGAATATGAACTCACAGATAGGAAATATTTTATAGTTCTTTATTTATACAACTCCCATGAGACTATCTCATATGACACTTTTTACTATGTCATTTGACTTATTAGCAGATGAAGGTTCTTTGTTTACATGCTGAACATAAGACATGAGCAAACCGGACACCCTTCTGGATTTATGAAACATTATTCCAAATATGAATGCTTCACTTTCTCTCATTTTCAACTCATTTGTCACCATAATCTCTGTTATTGGACTTCCAAACTAAGTCCATCAAAAATATGATAAGCCCCTTGATCACAGTGCTACCAAGTCAAAGCTTCCAAGCCCAGTAGTGGCTGCTGTACTTTTAGTAAGACAAAAACCCAGTCCAAAATAAATGAATGAATAAATAAATAAAAATAAAAATAATCAACAATTTGTCTACTAGAAAAAAAGAATTCCTTTGGTCTTCCAGTTATGGAACTATTTACATACATGTAGCATGTATAAACCCATGTACATATGGAAAGTTAATTATGCACTACTTTATTGGGTTTTTAGGAAAATACTTTGTAAACTACAAAGTGCTCCATGGATGTTAGATATCATTACTCATATATAATATAGTAAGTAAAGTATATAGTTTTATATATATAGCATAAAGTATATAGTTATATATATAGTATATATACTATAGTAACTAAAGTCCCTATCTTCATAAAGACATGAAGGTCACCCGGAAGACCAGATCAGGAAGACTTAGCTGGTCAATCAATAGGCATTTATTGAGTGCCTACTATATGTCAGGCACTGAGCTAAGCCTAGGGATACACAGAGAGGTAAAAGACAGTCCCTATCCTCAAAGAGATCGTAATCTAATGGGGGAGACAAGAAGCAAACAAATATGTACAAACAAGTTATAAGCAAAATAAATAGGGAATAAACAGAGAAAAGGTATTAGAATTAAGAGGGATTGAGAAATGTTTTCTGTAGAAGGTGAACTTTTGGTTGGAAACTTTTAAGGAAGCCAGTAGGTCAACATTAGAAAGGAGAGCATTCAAAAAATGAGGTACCTCAAGAAAAAAAATGGTGGGAGCTGAGAGATTAAGTGTCTTTTTCATGGAACAAGGCCAGTGACCCTATATTGACGTGTATGTTGTGGTATATAAAGTGTAGGAAAACTGAAAAAGGGAAAGAGGGCCTAGGGCCTAGGTTATGAAGGGTCTTGAAGACAGGGGATTTTGTATTTGATCCTAGAAGTAATGGGGAATCACTGGAGTTTGTTAAATATAGGGATGACATAGTCAGGGAAATCACCTTAGTTGCTGAATGGAGGATGAACTAGAGTGGGGAGAGACAAGACTGGCAGACCGACCAGCAGGCTATTCTAATAGTGCAAGGCATGAGGAGATGAGAGCTCACAGTAACAGTATCAGAGAAGAGAAGGTAATATATTCAAGAAATGTTGCAAAAGTGAAATTGACAGGCTTTGGCAACAGAATGGGTGTGAACAGACTGGCTACAGTGTGGTTTTTTTTTTTTGGGTTTTTTTTTTTTTTTTAAACTCTTAAAGGCAATCAACAAAGTTATAGAGAATTGCAGTCAGTGTCAGTGGAAGGAGTACTTACGCTGATAACAGGACCTGGAAATATTTGCCTTACAGATCTGTGGAACTTGCTTTTGACAAACTGGTTTTACTCTCAAAACTGTTTAAAAGAAATTAATTGAACATAGGAAAGCAGAAGAAACCTCCAACAACCATATTTTTTCATAACTCACAATTAAATACCATGACTTCTGGGGGAAAAAATGCCAATGGAAATTAGGAATGTGACTATTTCACTTCAATTTTGGACAAAATTAGGTAATTATGGTGCCACTAATGAAATTATTAGTGAAATTCTTAATTCTCTTTCCCCCTTCCCCCACTAAATGTACTTTTCATTTCTTACCATCTTCTTTCTTCTTCTACCATTCTCATTTCCTTACTCTCCCATTCACTTTCTTTTAAATAATTTTTATTGGCATCTTTTGTTTTTACATCACCTTTTTTTCTGAATACATCCCTCCCTTCACCACTATTCAGCAATCAATCTGTTCTCCTTGTAACAAAGATTGAAAAAGTATGGGGAGAGGAGAAAGCAGTTCAGCAAAACTAACCAACACATATCTGATAATTTATGCAACATTCCACACCTATCTCTGCAAAGTGAGGGAAGTGCATTTTCTCAAATTTTCTCCAGAGCCAGTCTTGGTCATTATAATCATTCAACATTAAATTTAGTTTTTAAAATCTTTCCAGTTTTATTTTTGTAGTCATTCTATTCCTGGTTCTGCTTACTTTACTCTGAATTATTTCATATCTTCCCCTGTATCTCTGAATTCATTATGCTCATTATTTCTTACAGCACAGTGGAAGTTGATTAAATTTACTTAAAATCGGTCTAGCCATCCTCCAATTGATGAGTATGTACACTGTTTCCAGTTCTTTGCTACCACAAAAAGTGTTAAGAATATTTTGGTGTACATAACTTTTCTTTTTGCCTTTGACTTCCTTGGGGTATATACCTATCAGTGAGATCTATGGGTCAAAGCTATAAGCATTTTAATCATTTTCTTAGCTTAACTACAAATTGCTTTCTAAAATCCTTGAACCAATTCAGAGCTACACCAATCCTGTGTGTTTGTGCCTCTCTTTTCAAAGCCCCTCCAGTATTAATTATTTCCATCTTTTGTCATCTTTGTCACCTGAGGAATTTTGATATGCATTTTTTCTTGTTATTGGTGATTTGGAGTCATCTTTCATATGATTGTAATAGTTTACAATTCTTTTGAGAACTATTTGTTTATAGCCTTTGAAAAGTCATTGGTTAATAGCTCTTGCTTTTATGTGCTAATTTCTTATATATCTTGACTCAGATTCTTAAGATATTTGTTGTTCCATTAGATTGTAAGTTTCTTGAAGACAGACTGTCTTTTGCCTCTTTTTTTGTATCCCCAACGCTTAGCACAGTATCTTGCACATAGTAGGCGTTTAATAAATGTTTATTGAAATGAATTTGTTGCAGTCCCCCTCAAGTTAACAATTTATTTTATTATGCAATTCACTAACTTCCTTCCTTTTATTAACTCTCTTCTTAAGCCTGTCTCCCTGAAGCACTCTTGTTCCCCCAGTTGGTGGCACTCAAAGCCTAGGAAGCCACTAATTCTTGCATCAGAAAGAGTTGCCCTTTTGTTCAACTTTTTAGAAAGAGTGATACAGCAGTTTCCTTAGCACCTCCTGTGTTCCATTTTGCTACCTCTACTTCACAAGGTTGCCATGGGTCAAATGCCCAGCCTACAGAAAGGTCATCTATTTTCATTTTACTACTGCATAAAGTCATTATCGTTAACGTTTAACTTCTAGGCAGGTTTCCTCATTTGTAAAACAGGGGCGTTACTTGCAAGGGGGGAGGGGGAAATACCCTACCTCACAGTATTGCTACGAGAGAACTTTGTATACTTTAAAGGGCTATAGAAACAAATAATTATTACTTTATTACTATAGACATCTGTTGGGTCCCTGTGGTCAAAATTATCAGTAATAAAAATAACGATCACGAGGAGTCGCCCCTATCTTAAGGTTGCACAGTTGAAGAGGTCTGCAGAAACCCAAGAAGCGTAAACAAAAAGTACTTATAAAGACACTCTATGCTACTGCGTGCAGCTAGCGAAAAATTCACTCTCTCGCCACACCCCCACTTCCTTCCTCTCGCCAACCTGGGCCCAGGCCGACTTTTGCCTGCACGCCTTCCCCCCCCCCCCTTCCCCGGGCTCTTCTCCCCTTTCCCCCAGCGTTCCCCACCACCCCGACTCTGCTTCCGGAAGTGACGCCATTAAAAGTCTGGCCGTCTCCTTCCGCCACGGGGCCGCGACCAGGCAGGCGCTTGGCGTGTGCTGGCGTCTCTGCGCGCGCGGAGGGATTCTGGGTAACGGCCCCCCCACCGGGGGCGGCGGCTGCGGGGCAGCCGGTTCCGGTCTGCCGGGAGGCCGTTGAAGGTGGCGGTTTGCCGGGCCGGGGGGAGGGGGCTATGGAGCGGCCGTGGCCGCCGCCTGGACCCTGGAACCTCCCCCGGGACGGCGGAGAGGCTGACGAGGAGACGGAGCTGGATGTATCTCCCGGCTCTTCCCGCTTCCCGCAACCTCCTGGAGACAGCCCCCAGGTAAAGGGGCGAACTTGGGTGGGAAGGAGAGGGTCTGCCTGCCTGACCCCCCCCCGTTCCGCAGGGATTGGGGGGGACGGGAGGGTCAGTAGCCTCCGGGCCGGCCCCTGCTCCTGCCCCGCCCCCCGTCCCGTTCTCCTTGGTCACGGTCTCCGCCCGTTTCTCTTCGCTGCATCAGGTTTCTGCTCATTCCACCACCCCTTTCCCGTGGGAGTGGGGGAGGGAATGGGTGCCTAATGGAGGAGCTAAACCAGCTGACAGACGTCCTAACTGTGGGACTGGGGGGTGGGTAGGTATAGGGGAGTTGTACGGGGCCACCCCTAAGGTCCCCTTTCCATTCCTAAATCCTTTAATCGCTTCCCTTCCCTTGAACTTAGTTTCCTCTTGTATGCAATGAAAGGATTGCAGTAGGTACCCTTTCAGCTCCAAATTCTACAACCTGATCGCCCCTGCCCTTTTCTACTTCCATGCCCGCATAAGCACCTTTTCACTTTGGCTGCTCTTCCCCCTCTGGAGGAGAGGTGAGAATTGGCAGAATTGCCTCTCTTAACCTGAGAGACCGAAAGTGAAATGGTATAGTAAAATGCACCAGTGTTTTGGGTTCCTAACATCAAACATCTCTTTTTTTTTTGTTTTTGAGTAGTGCCCTGTAATGAAAAGAACAGTCGGTTTGCCCCACCTTGGATTCCAATGTGGACTGTTATTTATTACCTAGGCTGAAAGTCACCTAATACCTGAATCTTAGTTTGCTCAACTCTAAAACGTGGAGGGTTAGATTAGTTCAGGGATTCTTAATCTTGTGCCGTGGACTCCTTCGGCAGTCTGGTTTAGATCATGGACCCGTTCTAAGAATTTTGAAATAAAATAAAATAAATAGAATTTCAAAGGAAGCCAATTATATTAAATGTAGTTTTTCTCCTCAACCAACTTCACAGACATAACGAAATCCATGGACATCTTAGAGGTCCCTGGACTACTAAATGATCTCTAATGTCCCGCCAACTCCACAGTTTGCTTATCCCAGTTTCCCCACCTACCATCCCCCTAGGCACAGGTACATATGCCTTTTCACTTTGGCTGTTCTTTCTCTGAAGATCAGGAGGTAAGAATTTGGTAGTTTTGCTTTCAGAAATAAAGATTGGGTGATTCTACAATGAGGTGTTCCAGCCAGTTCAGGTTCGATATGCCACTTTGATACTAGCCTTAATGAAAACAGCTCTGAATTTTGAAGTCAGAAAACTTAGATTTGAATATATGATTTTAGACAATTAAAATTGCAAAGAAATCTGTAAAAGAGGAGATTGGACTGGATAATTGCTAACATCCCTTTCAGTTCTAAATTCTATGAGCCACATTCTAAAAGAAGCTGAGGCAGACCTTCCTCAGTAATGCCATATGAACTTTTAGCAGATTGCTATCTTTTATTTTCTTGTTACCCTTGTGTAAATTTTGAATAAACTTGCCTTGTTCTTTTTGTGTAGCTCTCTGATCACCTCGTTTGGTGAAACTAATACTAATAGAGGGAGAATTGACAGTCTACTTGTTCCCTGAGCAAAATTCTAATGAAATTTCAAGGATCATCTTTGACATCTGACTCAGTTTTGTAACCCTGGCTTTGATTTTCATATTAGACTGTGTCCCACCCTCATTCAAATGGCCAGTGCCCTTTTGTTTTCATAACATTTTTGACTATACTTTCCATGATATTCTGAAAACATGTATGGCCAAAGCCTCCTTTTCCTCCCTGAGCCTAAACTTCCTCACTTGTAAAAGAGGGTGCTCAATTCTTTGTAGTACCAACCACATTGAATTGTTATAAGCATCAAATAGGACAAAACTATATAAAGTCATCGATTTTACATATACGTGTAAACTATAAAATATCAGTAGGTCTGGAATGTCAGGCTCTCATTCCTTTTAACTCACTACCTGAAGTAGACCCTTCAAGCTTCTTGAATCTTGTCTTATGACGTACTTTTCAGTGTCCCAGTTTACCTAATTTTGTTTTTTTCCTTACCTGGAAGTGTTTTGGGAAGAGTTCTCTAGGCCATAGAGTAGGCAATGTTGTAATTATTTCCAGTGAAATGAAAATGTTCTACCTTCCATCATTCTTGCAAAATGAATGGATTCTTAAAGATGCTTTACAGAAAATTAACTTCTTTTCCCTAAGCTCACTTTTGTATATGATAATAAAAATTTATTATTTATAAGTATGGTGCTTACAAAGAAGCCAATTACTGATTCATCCCCTAGCTAATAGACCAGAATTCAGTTTTACAACCACAGACACCGCCAGCCACCTTAGAAATGGAGACGATATGAAAGAATTGATGAATCAATAGCACCCTATTAATTATGAACCAGTAATGTCATCTTTATAATATGAAAGGTAACATCTTGAAGAAAGTTTGTACAGCAACTTCTGAAATCAGTTTTGTAGGCACAAGAAAGAATAGGTCTTTTAAGTTTCTCAGGAATTTTCAGTTCAAAGAGATTGTTTCACAGAAGTGCTCCCAAAAGAAAATCTATTTTGAGTAGGTAAAGGTTTTTTTCTTTTGGGGGTGGGGTGGGGTATACTTTGAAGTTGTGAAGCCCAGCTGAACCTTATTTGGATTAAATGCTCTATCAATGATATTTCAGTTTGCAAAGTGGTAGCTTGATTAGTGCTAGTTTTGGTCATTTATTTGCTCTAAGCACACTTAAAATACTTGCTTTTCTTTCTGGCTTTAAAACTTTTAAGTTTCTGTATTAGAACCAGCAAGAAGAAAATGTTTATCACATTTTGTAAACATTTTTAAAGTGTTAAATTTCTGGTTCAGTTTTTGCCAGTGAGGAAGAGGCAAAGTATCTAAAGGGGTATGAGTCCTCAGATTACAGTTATGTGAAGAAATAGAAATTTAGTCCAACTGAAAACAGTTGACTTAAATAAGACTCTAATGCCAATAGCTACCTTCTTTAGGTTTTGCAAATAGTAGTTCTGTATAAAGTATGAAAACTGCATAAGAATAAAGATTTTATTTTCCTAAGTGTAAAATACTTAGAAACTTAAATTGTAGTCTGGCCTTGACATTTATTAAGTGTATGTCTGTGGACAAGTCATTAACCTCTCTTTAAAATGGTAGTTATTTGTACTACCTATACATGGGAGTGCTGTGAACAAAGTGCTTTAGTGCAAGGTGTTGTATACATGTAAAGTATTATGGTTTAGAATATAAGCATGGGGTGAACATTTACAAAATCCTAAAGTGGTGAGTGGGTACAACATCTGAATTTAGGAGTATTCCCATTTGTCTCATCTTCCAAGTTTGCCAGAAGCTGGGCTTTGCTTGAGGATTCCTTTGCCTTTTGAAGGCACATAGTATTTAAAATGTGGATAATCCGCAGTTGAGGGAGCACATTTGGCTAGGTAATTTACAATTAATGAACAACTTCTTAACTGATCAAACAATTGTAATGAGTCCTTCAACATACCTTCTTAAAAAAAGAAAGCACTTTTACATTTTGCATTGGGCTAAATGAAAGCAGCACCTGAACCTTTTTCAAATTGAGAAATATAAATGCTGTTGTATTTTAGAGTAAGAGACTTTAGTCACTTAAGGACCAGGATTCCCAAGTATACATACAGATAGAAAGAAGGAGTCACTTCTTGGTATTACTTGGTATAAGAAAGTTCTCTGCAGTAGAGAACTCCAAAGATTTTGTTTTCATTGTGTTAGGGAGGAGAGAAATTGTGGGCTTCTGTTTCTGTTACTTTAATTATTACAAGATAATAAGGAAATGTTTGGAATCAAACTGCACGAGGCACTGTGTTACTGTATAGGTTACCAAAAATCCCTACCCTTTAAAAGTTTTATGTTGTAGCTGGGAATAGAAGACAGCACTCAAAGGTCATGTATACTAAATGGTGAATAAGTTGTACATATAATAAAGATGCAATAGTTGGAGGTTTTTTCCCTAGTTATTCTCTGGCAAACTTCAAAAAAGTTTAACTGACTTGGAAAATTTGGGTAATCTCTATTAATGAAAATTGGAAATGTTTGACCACTGTGAAATACAATCTAAAGTGAAATTATGTTTGTACTGAACAAATATGCTTTGTTTCCTTCAATTGTTACAAATAATGTTTTGTTCTCCATCCAGATGTATAGCCAAGGGATTGAACTGGCTTGCCAAAAGCAGAAAGAGTTTGTGAAAAGCTCTGTAGCGTGCAAATGGAATCTAGCTGAAGCTCAGCAGAAACTTGGTAGTTTAGCACTACATAACTCTGAATCCCTGGATCAGGAACATGCCAAAGCACAAACAGCAGTGTCAGAACTGAGGCAAAGGGAAGAAGAGTGGAGACAAAAAGAAGAGGCCCTGGTACAGCGAGAGAGAATGTGTTTGTGGAACATGGATGCCATTAGCAAGGATGTTTTTAATAAGGTACAAGCTTTTGTTGAGGAATACGAAGTAAAAATTATCAATGCACTTAGGTATGTTTGTGGACATTTAATATCCTAGCATTAGAATATCTATGTTAACAAAACAGTACTCATTATCTACCAATTTTTTCCCCAAATTCAATAAAGATTTATAGAAAACCAGTAACAAATACCCCCCAATACAGTGTTTGATGTGGCTAATTCTTGATAATAGCTGTAAGTTACAGTGTTGATTGTATAAGACTAATTTGTAGCTACTGAATGTGTTTAATGGTAAATAGCCTTTTGCATTTCGTTTACTAGCTTACATGCAGTAAACTCTTAGTTAAGTAACTTTTACTTACTGGTAGAATCACTAGTGTTGGAAGGGATATTTCAAATAATCTAGCAATTCTTTCTCTTAAAAAAAATACTGTACCTAAGAATGTATAAAAATCAAGGCTAGAGTATAAGCTAAGGGGTCAACAATTATTTCAAGCAGCAGTTCTTTTCCTGACTGCCATTGACTGACTCACTGTATCCACCAAGGCACACGATCAAAGCTTCCTGACTGTGTTCTTCATTCAAGACCTTAGATTTAATCCAGACATAGAGTTTCTAGGTAAGATAGTGACCTAGTCCAGCCCCCTTTATTTTATTGATGAAGCGGCTGAGAAAGAAAGGGTAAAGTGCCAAAGTTCACGACCCTTGTTAGTGAGTTAGAGATTAGGGAAAATTACCTGACACTGGAAGCTGAAAGAAACTAAATTTAATCAATCTAGGAAAGTAATTAGATAGCCTTCCCTACATAGCATTGATAATGGAATAGATATCAATTTTTATGGAAAATAACAAAGTTGAAGGACAGAGAGATGATAAACAAGCATTATGAAAGAGCTGGTTTTGAAGTCAGAATGTCTGGATTTAGGTCCAGGCCTTGCTACTTACTACCTGTGTGACCTTGGGCAAGTAATTTATAACATCTTCAGGTCTGTTTACTCTTGTTAAATTCAAGGATTTAACTAGATTAAATTTTCTTTGAACTCTAAATCCTATGACTAGATGACCTTGAAAATCTGTTTCCCTATGGTTTGAAGATTTCCAAAATTGCATATTTCTTATTCACATAAATCTATTGAAATAGCTGTTGGATTTCATCTAAGATCATTGTTGAACACATTTTCATAATAATATGAGTACGTAATTTCAGCCCTTCACAAATAAGATTTAAGAAACATCAGAATAACAAGCATCAGTTGGCATTATATTGAAACTCTCAGAGCAGTAGCTAAGGAATTGAGGAGCCAAATTCTCTTATTATGAAAAGAAGTTGAGTTATTTAGCTACATAGGAAGCCTTTTATTACTTTCTACCTGCCTGCTAAATAATATCTGTTAACAAAAAAAACCTTTAATAATAAGGCCAAACTATTGTTGAGGTAACCATTCTCTATGTAGAAGTGATATAGCATAATTATCTGATAGCAAATGAATACTTCTGTTAGCAGATTGAGCTACAGCAGTAACGTTTATTTTGCAGAAACACAGTAATTAAATACAAAGCATAGAAGATAATTCTGATTTACTATTCCATATACTTACGGAGAATGGATTTTTGGAAAATGAAAAACCTTAGCTTTAGAGCAAATGTTACTGCTCTCACCATTAACAAATACCTTAAGAACTTCCTTATTAGGTTACAATCTTGGACAGACTGGAATTGACACCACAGTATAAGATGAATGTGATAAAATGTATAGTCATGAACTGTCCTGCAGAAAGACATAATTGTTCTCAGTTGATATAAAAGTTAGGGCACACCCTAATATACCAGTTTCCTTTAGTAACCCATTATGAACATGCTGCTTCATCCTTACCCATCTGACATGCTGCTTCATCCTTAGGACTTAATAGCCTTTCCATCCTTCCTTCAACTGAACTCTTTATAAGTATTGTCTCCCTGAGTTAGAGTGCATGAGTTCCTTGGGATCAAGGACTGTCGATTTTCCTATTTGGATGCCCAGTGTTTGACACACAGAAAGTGCTTCATAAATGTTTATTTATTCAATCAGGAGTGAATCTTAAATCTTTTTTGAATTTCTCTTTTTGGCCAAAAGTTTAGGGGAAAGGGAGTGTTTCAGAAGTTTGCTTATTTTGCCGCCCCATCTCCTGCCAAAGAGGTGTTGGATTCAAGGTGCAGAATGATACAGATTTTTTTGATATAGCCAATGTGGGAATTTGTTTTGTTTGACTATGCATATATCATACAAAGGTTTTGTTTTTGTTTTCCCAGTGGTGAGGGTGGATGGGAAGAAGAGAAAATGGATTTAATTTTTTTTAAAAATAACCGCATATCCAGGATGTAAAGATAGTACTTTTATCCTGTTATCCTCTCCTAAGCTTGATTAAGCTAAAATTGTCTCTTTTGTTCATATATAATTGTCTTTACTTTTTACGTTTGATCGTTTTAAGACTGCTGTCCATGTCTATTCACTTTAGTTGCCCTTCTCTGACTCTTTTCCTTCTTTATTTCCATTTTATCTCTTTTAACTCACAGTGACCAGAAACATAGAATATTCTAGAGTGGACACCCATCTCAGGATAAAGGGCAAGGGTATATGTCCAACCAAATGCCAAATAATGATAGAATGCATGTTCTAGAAAAGGTGGATAATTGTTTTGTGTTATTGTGAATTATCTAGTAAATGCTCCTTAAAAAATAAGCTTCTTTAACTTTAGAAAATTAGTTCTGTCACAAGTGTTTTATCTAGGGAGAAAATCATAGGATCATCGATTTAGAGCTGAAAGGGGCCTTAGACCATCTACCAACCCCCTTAGTATAAGAAACTAAGGTCCACAGAGCTGAAAGGGGCCTTAGACCATCTACCCAACCCCCTTAGTATAAGAAACTAAGGTCCACAGAGGGGAAGTGCCTTGCCCGAGGTCACACAGCTAGGAAGTGGCAGACCTGACATACTATAATATTCAACTCTATCAGCTGTTTCTTTTTAAACCTAGTTTCTTACCTGACCTGCATTTGTCAGATTTTAATTAGGAATGTTTTATAATGAACAGTGTCTTTTTATATAGACTTATTCTAGTTTAAATTTATACTTGTTATAAAGTGATTTAAGTCATGGAGATGGAATCTGGATGACAGAATTTACTGAGAAAAGAATTAGCAGGAAATACTCATATTTTATGTGTGTTTTTGAATTCTTGCTAATTCTAAGAGCTGGCAGAAAAGTAGAATGCGATTTTTATTTAGGGCAGTGATGATCTCAGCCTATCAGCGTGGTCACAGAATGTTCTGAAAAACTGTTCAATGGTTTTCCTAGCTAAATAAGAACTTGATTTAATGTCCTTTTTTGTGTTTAACTGAAAGAAATGTCCTTTAATAGAGCTTTCAAATTGTTTTAAGGACAAAACTTTTTTTTAACTGCCCCATAAAGTTTATTAGAAATTTCAGCTAAATTTTGCCATCTTGTTCAGGAATTATCAGAGATTTTTAAAAGTAATTATATATCTTACCTTATTTTGATCAGGATTTCTGGGATCATTTTCAATTGGAACTAACTAGGGTTATAGTCAAAAATCTTTATAGGAAATTAATCCAGTTATAAGTATATGCCCATTTTATTTCTGAATGTGTGTCCACTCTGGAATACTGTGTATTTCTAGTCACCACACCTTAAAAAAGAAAGAATGGAAATGAAGAAGATGAAAAGAACAACTAAAGTGATCACGAGGCTGGGAGTGAGGAGTGGTATGATAAAGATAGATTAAAAAGTAAGCTGAATATTCCCACTGGGGCTAGGACCATGTCTTGTCTCACACAGTGCTTAGAGTATACATGTTTAGTAAATGTTTATTGAATTGGCTGGTTTATTTCAAGTGTATCTACTTCTTAACTTCAGCAATTCAGAATTCAAGTTTAGTTCTGTTTTCTCTACATGACTTTAGACAATAATAGGTTTGGTTTTTTTTTGTTTTTTAAACTAAAATGCTGGGGGGCGGGGGAGTTGATTTTAAGGGCAATCTATTAAGGCTTGGACTTGGATTGATATAGTGATAGAGTTTCCTTTCCAAAAGAAGGATATGTAGACATGTATGATGACTGAACTTTGAAAGAATATCAAAAATGGCCTACTCAGATATTCTAGTTCAAATGAGGCAAAGAAATATTCTGATCACTTTATAAATTTTTTTTCTCAGAGTTTTATTAATCAAGATAAAAGTAAAGAAATAGAAGATGAAGATAAATCCAAATCATTTATGCAGAAATATGAACAAAAGATTAGACATTTTGGTAAGTACCTTACTTGAACTTCATTCTTTTGTAGTTCTTGGTACCATCTATGCTAAAAATGGGAATATAAAATATGGAGCACAAAAGAAGGTAAATGCCAACCACGCACTAGTTCTCTGGCTATTTCTGACATAATTATGTGGCTGTGGTTGCAGAGTGTTTGGTTTTTGTTTTGTTTTTTTAATTTCTCAAAGATAAAGCAGAGTGATAGGCAAAACCACCCAGTTAATAAAAATAAAAATTTTTATAGTACTAACCTTTAAGATAAAACCATTTCTTTGTTATATGCAATTTTATACATTTCCTGTTACTCTCCAATCACTTTTCTCTGCCCTTCCTCATCCTTGGTCACTAATATCTTGTGATTTCTGGCTAGGGTTTTTTTTTTTTCTTCCAAATTCTTGTTACTTAAGTAACCAAGCAGAGCACTGAAATATATACTAAGTCATTTTGGTGTGAAGGAAGACACTGACTGCTTGAAGGGACCAGAAAGACTTCGTGTAAGATGGTACTTAAGCTCAGCTCTGAAGGAAGCAGGCAGCAGTAAGGTGGGAGTGCTTTCCAGGCCCAGGGAATAGCCTGCAAAGGCACCAAACTGGGAGATGAAATGTTGTGTGTAAGGAAACTGTAGGCTGGTTTGGCTAAAATATTTAGGGTCTGCAGTGGAGTAATGTGGAATTGTCTGAATTGACAGGTTGGAAGCTCTTATTTTGTGTTAGGGTTTTAAATGCCAAGTAAAAGAGCTTATATTGTTTTTATCCTAGAGGCAGGAGGGAGCCACTGGAGTCTATTGCTCAAGGCAGTGATGTGCTTGTTTAGGAAGATTAGTTCAGCAGTTGTGCAGGAAATTACTACAATAGCCTCCTAATTTGTGTCCCTGCTACCAGTCTCTCTTTTCCACAAAACTGGCAAAGTGATATTCCTGAAGCATAGGTTTGACCATGTTGTTCCCTGATCAGTAGACTCCAGTGGCTCCCTATTACCTCTAGGATAAAAAACAACAAACATCTGTTTGGCATTTAAAGCCTTTCACAATCTGGCTCTAGTCTTGTTATCCATTACTTCCCTCACATTCATTATGACGGGACCATAATGAACATGAAGTTCTGTATTGGTTGTACTGAGTTTGAGATGCCCATGGGATATCTAGATAGAATGTCCAATAGTCATTAGTGGTATGAGACTTGAGCTCAGGAAACATATACATAGCCATTTACATACATCTGGAAGTCATCTCCATAGGAATAATTGAATCCATTGGGGCTGCTGAGTTTACCAAGATAGTGTAGAGAGAGAAAAGAAGGCCTAAGACCAAAGCCTTGAGGGCGAGAGGTGGATTATCCAGTAAAGGAGCAGGAGAAAGGATAGCCCTACAGACCTAGGAGAACAAGGAGTGAGTGATTTCCCAAAAGCCTGAGAAGAGAGTATCTAGAAAGAAGGGGTGATCAAGAGTCATGCTACAGAGATTAGGAAGAAACAAGAAAAGGCATTTGGATTTAGTAATTGAGATCATTGGCCTCCTTGGAGAGAACTGTTTCAATTGAATAGCAAAGTTAATCCACATTGGAACAAATCGGAAATTGGATGAGATTGAAAAATATGGAAAAAAACCAAACATGGTCAATGTTGGCAGAACTGTGGGAAGGCAGGCATACTAATGAATTGATCCAACAGTTTTCAAAGACAATTAGGAATCATACCTACAAAGTCACTGAATTGTACGTACCCTTCGGATCAGTAATGGCCGAATTTGGCATTTAACTTCGTGGAGGTTAAAAGAAGGAAAGTTCCCGTGTAGATAAAAATATGTAACTGCATTTTTGGTAGTAGCAAAGAACTGGAAAGCAAGTAAGTACTAGCCAACTGTAGAATGGCTGGATAATTTGTGGTATGTGGATGTAATGGAATATTACTGTACTATAAAAAATAACTAATGTGAAAAATTCAAAGAAACTTGAGGAAACTTTATGAACTGATGAAAAGCAAAGTGAACAGAGCCAGGAGAACAATTATACAATGCCATAATAATTTAAAGGAAAAAAAACATTTAACAGAACTCTCATCTGTACAGTGATCAATTATAACTTCAAAGGCTTGACAAAGAATTCCACTTGGACATGGAGATAAACTGTAGTTGTGGAATGAAGATCTCTTTCTTTTTTTTGCTTGACTGTACTTATTTATTGGAAAAGATGGTTCTTGGGATGGGGATGGGATTGAGAAGGGTATGTTAAAGTATTTTACTTTTTTCATAATGGTGGAGTGAAGTGAAGGTATTTTTTTTCCCTTGAAGTAGGTAGAGATGTAGCCCTTTTGTAAGCAACAGGGAAGAAGCTGGTAAATTGGGAGAGACTGAAGATTACAGGGAAAGAGAAGAGTTAAGTAAGGACTACTTACTTGAGCAGTTGGAATGAGAACTTTGAGGAATTTAAAAATGAGATTTAGTTTTTCCTCCCCATTTCAATTCTTTCATTTTATTATAAATTCTTATCCAAATGAGTAGTGCTGGGTTATTATATAGTAACTCATCATCTGCATTGGAAAAGGGGGAAAAGAAACTCATGGGTAAGACTTGCATATCCAAAAAAAGATTTATTGAATATTTTTTACAACTGACTTGAGATGGGAGTGGAACACTAAAGACTCCATATCCAAGTAGTGGCAGGTCCTTCAAAAATGACTTCTCAATTTTCCCTGGATTACTCCTATCTCTTCTCACTACTGCTGAAGAGAGTTTTGTAAAGGAAGTCACCCCATTTTGTTGACTGGGCACACTTTAAACTTATTATCTAAGCTCAATTGGGCCCGTATTGCCAGTAGGCAATCTTTTTATTTCTCTAGTTGATTCCCTATCTCACTTCCCAATGAAACTATTTCAGACTTTTTCATCTTTCTTCAAGACTCCAACTCCTCCCTCTCCCCTGCCCTTTTCACTAAAGACCTTGCTTCTAATTTGCCCGAGAAAATTTGAGCCCATTCACCATTATCTTCTTCTTTTCTCCTCCCTTCATCTCAACACCCTTTGCCATCATTCTTCTCTTCTCCTTTCTCCTAGTCTCTGATAATGATACTCTCCCTATGTAGACCAATCCCTCTGTGTGTAACCTTGATCCCTTCCCCTTCCATTTTTGGCATATTTTACCCTTTTCATTCCTAATCTTTAATCTCTCCATATATACAGGTTCTTCTGCTGCTGCCTTCATGCACAAGTCTCCCTAAATCTTAAAAAAAAAACTTAATTATACATTACCAGCCTTCTAGCTGTTATGCTAGATCCTTCCTCCCTTTCTTAGGGAATTCTTCAAAAAACAGTAACAATTTTCTGCACTTATTTCTTCAAGTTTCTCTCTACTCCACAATTCTTTGTAATCTGGCTTTTAACTTATCATTCAACTGAAAATATTCTCTCCAAAGTTACCATCAGTCTCTTAATTGCCAAATCTAATAACCTTTTTCAGTCTTTAGCCTTCTTGACCCATCTGCTGCATCTGATACTGTTGACTGCCATTTCTTCCTGGATCCTCTCTTCACTCTAGGGTTTGACAGTACTGCTGTCTCCTGGTTTGTCTACCTGACTGACCAAACTTTTTCAGTTTCCTTTGCTGGCTCATCAGCCATATCAAAGTCCTTAATTATGAATGTTCCCTAAGGCTTTTCCAAGGTCATCTTTTCTAGTTTCTCTACACTCTTTTTTGTTAACCTCATCAGCTACTATGAATCTAATACTTATCTTTATGCAGATGATTCCTCGATCTAGATATCATCCAGCCCCTGACTTTGTCCTGAGTTTCAGTCCTGCATCACCAACTGCCTATTGGCTATTTCAAATTAGGTATCCTGGAGACCTCTTAAATTCAACAAAACTCATTACCTTTGTCCAATCTCACCCTTCTACTGAATTTTGTTATTTGTCAAAGGTATCAAACACCAGTCATTCTTCCAGTCTCTCAAGTTCTTAACCTCAGTTTTGTCCTTGACTTCTCAATTCCCTTCATCCCACGTACTCATTCATTTGCTAAATAGTCATTTCTACCTCCACAGTATTTCTTCCATGTAACTCCATTCCCACAGGCCTTCATCCCTTATTGCTTAGACTGTTTCAGTAGCCTCCTAATTAGTCTTCCCAACTCAAGACTCACTATTTCAATCCAGCACTGAGTTGCCAATGATTTTCCTTAATCAGAGATTTGACCCAGCCACTTTCCTACTCAGTAGCTCCCTATTGCTCCTAGGATCAAACACAAACTTCTCTGTTTGGAATTTTAAGCCCTTCAAAACCTACTTTTCATCTTTATTATACATCACTCTACTGCTTTCACTTTGTGTTCTAGCCAATTGTTCTTTTTCTCTGTTCCTCATACCCAGCATGCCATCTCTTGTCTCTGGAGCTTTGCAGTGGCTGACTCTCATGTTTGGAATGTACTTCCTCCTCATGTCTTTCAAGACCCAACTTAAGCACAGTGTTATACACAAAGCCTTACTGATCCATCCCTCCCTAACTGGTATTTATTTTGCATTCTCTATATACTTACGTGTGTATGTGATATCTCTCCTGATAGTATGTAATTCCTTTGAGAATAGAGATTGTTTCATTTTTTCTTTGTATCCCCAGCACCTTGTACATGGTAGTTACTTAATAAATTCTTGTTAGTTGATTAGATTCAAAATTGTCTAATGCCAAAGATGACTTAGGTACAAGTAGTGGTATAAGAAAACAAAGAAAGAAGGAAAACAAGCATTTATTAGGTGCCCACTATGTGCCAGCTACTGAGCTAAGTGCTTCAAAAATCTCTCATTTGATCCTTATAACAGCTCAGGAAGGTAGATACTATTGTTATCATCCCCATTTTTACAGTTGAGGAGACTGAGGCAAAAAGAGGTTAAATGACAGGTCACATAGCTAGTAAGAATCTGAGACCTTATTTGAACTCAAATCTTTCTGACTCCAGGCCCATCATTCTAGCTACTGTGCTACCTCCCTCCCACCAGATATATTTCTGACTGGAAGGGGAAATAGCTTATATATAATACATGGAAAGCTCAAGTACTTCATTGATATCCACAAAATACTAAAAACCAAAAGATCTCTTGTGTGTTTGGGTAGTTCTCCTAATAGAGGATTTATTGAAAGACTTAGTAAAGAATCATATAGAATGAAAAGACGAATGGTTTGTAACGTCTACTAGTGAAAGAATACATGCTCTAAGATCATGAATCTGTTGAATTCTGTTGTCCATATGATACTGTCCTTGTCTAAGAATGTAGGTTATAGTTTTGTTTTTTTGTTGTTTAAAAGAGAATTTGTACCCAAAGAATTTTCATTATGAATTGAGAGATGCCAGTGATCTTTCCCCCAGGATTCTGACTTAATAATGGATATGGATTCAGTCACTGGAGTGAGAGGAGCACCTTGCCTACTTGCTCCTTCAATGCAAGCTGCTATTTACTGTAGAATTTAGAGGCAAGAAAAGAACCCGGAAAAATTCCATGCAGCTTTCATCAGAAAAGAGTTAAAGATGTAAATTTGGCTCCACATATTCCTATGAACTTTGGATGTGAGTGTTTATTAAGAATTATTTTTGTTTCTGTTGATGAACTTTTTGATTGATTAGGAATTTGAAAAGTTTTCACTGTAAGCATTTATTATGAGAAGTACTTGTATTGAGTGATTAGAACTTCAGTCATACTTCTCTTATATTAGCAGATGAGACTTGAGCTCTGTTTATTTCCTCCAAGTTCATTAACTCCATAAAAGATTAAATTTGCTTTTGTGTAATTTTTTTTTAAATCAGGAACAAAATAAAGAAATGAAAAGTGTGTGCTATTTAATTCAGGAACTGAATTTTAGGGCCCAAATAAGATAAGGGAGTAAAAAGGGCAGGTACTTAATAATGTAAGAGGAAGCCTTAATAGTATTACTATAAGAGGAGGCCTTAATAGTATTGATAAAACTTTACAGTTAACCAGATCACTTATTATTTAAGTAAACATAGTATGAGACTGTATTAAAAGAAGAAAATTAATTTGTGGAATTTCTGAAAGCAGCTATGCTTTGATTTCTGAATTACTTATTCTTTGATACTGTTTCGGTCACTTATAAAATGCAGTCTGGTGGTTTTTTGTGTTGGAGTTAGAAGTCTTGCTCTAGAATAGAAGTAGTTGTATCCCTGATGTTGATAGACTTTAAGGTGCTTCTGTGTGTCTTCCTTTCTCTTCCTATGTCTGAGTAAGTTCATTTCAGATACATAGGGAACCAGTCTACATAGACTTCTAGTCATTTGGTTTTTAATATATTACTAGTTGGAGCATGTTTTTGATGTGAGTGTTGGAAGAACCTATTGTTCATCCCAAGTTTTTCCATCATCATTGGCTTACTCAACATGTGGTAACTTGGTCTCTGTCAAGGAGTAGGAGGAATGGGAAAAAACTGAACATTGAGGCTTTGGACGATATCTACTAATAGCCAGTCAAAAGCAACTAAGTAAAGGTTCACTCAGGAGACATAGTCCTTGTCTTTGTGGAACTTGATCTAATGAAAAAAATGAGATAATAGTATTAAAATGACAGTGGCATTAGAGAAGTACAAAACATCATTAGGTAGGGTAACTGAGTCTCTATTCATCAGCCAGGTATGGCAAAAAGACATTTAGCCACAAAAGCAACTGAGAACTAAGGGACTTCCAACAAGCATGTAGGGAAAGGAGAATTTTGGAGCTACATGCAGAGAATGTATTATGTTTGTTTCTGCCCTTGCTGAATCATAGCTAGGACTAACAAAATGCAAATTGATCTCCCAGCTAGAGAAAAAAGGTGAAAGTGTTGTCTGTTCTCCAGTTTCTTGGGGAAAATGAGGTTTTCCCAGAAAGAAAAATGTCAAAGGAAAAACAAAGAAGAATAAGAAAACAGTGTAACTTATGACTGGAAGCTGAAGGGTAGATAAATGTGACACAGAGAACATGGAGTACAGGAGCACTGAGCAAGCTATACAGCAGACATGACATTCTTCTTAGAGGTGGAGCTAAACTATGAGGAGGAAGCAGCTCCTTGAGCCTCAAGGAAGGAAGATTTGGTAGATAGATCCACAGGTGCCACTAGAAAAGATGTCCTCTGCTAACACTTAGAAGAGAAAGGCTTGAGGGGACAGCTAGATGGTGCAGTGGATAGAGCTCCTGCCTTGGAGTCAGGAGGACCTGAGTTCAAATCTGATCTCAGACACACAACACTTACTAGCTGTGTGACCCTGCAGAAATCACTTAACCCCGATTGCCTCACCAAAAGAAAAAAAAAGCTCATAAGCCTCCCAGAAGAATATGGCAAATTTGGGGGGAAAAAAAAATCCTGGAGTACTATTGGTTAATAATCCCCTGCTGAAGCAGCTGCTTGTAACCCGACAGGACCAGTAGAGATGTTTGCTTGCCTACTTGGGCTGGGTATCTGGGATGTGATAGAGAGTCTCTAGAAACTTATCTGGGGGAGTGGGGAAGAAGTAAAGTAGGAGGAGACAAATGACCAATTCCAGAAAGCATTGCTATGAGTTTTTGAAGCCTGAGAGAAAAGATACTATATTAGAGGTAGTGTTTTTGTCACTACTGTTAATTGTATCACATAAGTAGGCACGACTCAAATTCTAGCTGATTCAGATTCTGCCTCTAAATCCAGTATTGCTTCCACAGCACTCTGCCAGTTTTTCTTTAAACAACACTATATCATTTTTTCTTTAAGACTACCTCACTAAGATTTAGTTGAATCCTTAATTCTGAGCTATTTAACTATCTTCAGATCTTTGAAGGGGTTTCATATGCAAGAGAAATGGGTTCAGGTCTCAGCTTTGACCCTAAACAAGTCACTTAATCTCTGAGCCTCAGGTTCTCCATCTGTAAGATGGAAGTAACGATACTTGTATCACAGTGTCAAATCTAGATCCATGAGACTTTAATTTCTTCTTTGTTTATGTGTACAGTTTTATTACTTAGACATTTAGGAAAACCTAACTTGTTCAAATAGTTGAAACAACTTAGGATCGTAACTTTTGGTCTGGAAAGGATTTTAAAGACCGTAGAATCCAACCCTCTTGTTTTACTGAGGAAACTGAGGCATGGAAAGGTTAATACCCCTCTCCCTAGGGTCACACAAATAATAAGAGTATGAGGTAGGATCTGAATTCAGGTCTTCCTGACTTTGAAGTTTAGAGTTTGGCCTCCTATTCCACAATGTTTCTTAATTCCTTCATACTTAGTTTGACCTGATTAATGATCTGAGATATAAGACATTGTACCACTTGAATGATTTCTATAGCAACATGCATCTGTTTGAAGAGAGTTTTTATATTAAAATGTTATCTTGACCTGCACAAACGAAAATAAGCAATTAGAAATGGCTAGGTTGTTTTTACCCACCAGATTATTTTCTATTTTCTCTAGTAATATTTAAAATGAAATAATTTTAAAATGTCATTTCATCCCACAGAAACACAAAGTGTATTTGTCATTTACACTATAATTCTTTTTTTAAAGGTATGCTAAGTCGATGGGATGATAGTCAGAGATTCTTGTCTGACCAGCCATACCTTGTGTGTGAAGAAACTGCTAAGTATCTCATCTTGTGGTGTTTTCATCTAGAAGCTGAAAAGGTATTGTGTAAACCTTCTGGAAACTTGGAAATACTTTAGTTTGTTTAGCTTCTTTAGTTTTGTTTTTTTGCATCTATATTGGAGAGACACTCTCATGGTCAATAAATTCGAAGCCCCACATGTGTTTCTAGAATTCATTTAGACATAATTGTAAAGGAGAGTTGATTCATTCGTATTCCAGTTGAAAAATAGAAACATTCTTTAGAAAGGTATGGCCTTTCAAAATTACCTTTATTGTAATTTATATAATAAAAAAATTTTTTTACATCCAAACAGTAGTTAAATATTGATTTAAATTAACATCACTGACTAGGTTTAGTTAAGCTAATAACAGGTCTGTTGATCAAAATCTAAGGTTCTTGTAAAAATCATACAGTATTAGATATATATGATAGATAACAAAGGGCAAAGACTAAAATGCCTCTAAATGCAAAGCATTATGCCATTTCAATAGACACATGTTAACTATATTTTTTGTTAGAGTTGCTTATAAAAGTTCAATTTCTTTTCAGAAAGGAGCTCTAATGGAACAAGTAGCACATCAAGCAGTCGTAATGCAGTTTATTATGGAAATGGCCAAAAACTGTAATGTGGATCCACGAGGGTGTTTTCGTTTGTTTTTCCAGAAAGCCAAAGTAAGTAGCTGAGGGAAAGTGCTAAATGGAAACTTTAGGTAGGTTGTAGCATCTGGGATGACCCTGTCAAAGGCTTTAGTGGAATCGTCTACCATGCTTCCTGCACTAGATATTGCTATTGTGATCACTGTAGGTTCTGTGACAGTGGCATTGGAAGGATTCTTCTTGTTGGGGGCAGGAAAGGGGGACAGCTGGGGAAAGGTAAAGAGAAATGTACCACCAGAATCTTGTACTTGTTATTCTGCAGATTTAAGGGAAGCCCACCAGGTTAGTGCTGTGAAACATAAACCAAGTTGAGACATGTGGATGATTCAAATCTTGACTGGTCTTGATCTTCACAATATTCTGGATTTAGACACTAACCAAAATGACTGATAACTGGTGGTGGGAAATTCATAGCTTACCTACAATATTACCCAAATGATAAAAGTACATAAAAGTAAGAATAAATTTCATGAGGATCTTTCTCTTTTATTATTGTGAAGATTGTAGTCTAGCCAGTCTCCAGAGATGAGGACTAAGACGTATCTCAGGGAATGAGAGTTTACTGGGGAGTAGGGAGAGCCAAGGATAATTGTCCACTATCAATTAAGCCCAGATCACGTTTTTTATTTCTAGCTACCTAATTAACTAGGACCTGAAAGAATGGAAACAGAGTTAGATACAGGAGAGGTCTCAGTTTCATCTCTAAGAAGGGAAGGTCAGACAGGGAATTCTGTGCCGCAGCAGAATGGTGGGACTAGACCCAGGGAGAGGTAAAATGGAAATATAGACCCTTTGACCTCAAAGGAAGTGGGGGACATACTGTGAACATAAAGGAAAGAATCTGTCGCTCTAAAACAGGAGTTCTATGCTAGGTCCCATGGACTCACAAGGGGATAGATTTCAGGGGACTTGTGAACTGGGTTGGAAAAAACATTACATTTTTATTTTCACCAACTTCCAATTGAAATTTAGTATTTCACTTGTGAATGTAGGCAACAAACTACATTAGTATTAAATTTTCCCAAACTGCCAAAAAGGTTAAGAACTCTTGTTCTAGAGTTATAGTTCTAGAGTTATATGGTAGAGCTGATTTCAAAACAAGGGCATTAGTAGCCATGGATGTGGCGGGGTGGGGGGGGGGGGGGGGGGGGGGTAGCTTTTGTCCAACTAGGTTAGATCAAGTCATCAATCATGGAAGTGAGAACCATGTCATTTGGAGCAGGTAGTGTGAACCCCAAGATAGAATTCTGAAGGAGGGCATAGAGGGAAAGTCTTACTCTTCCAAGAAAACAAAGAAACAAGGACAGGGCTCCTTCTCAAACCAGGATGAAGGAGAGAGATTGTGTGTGTGTGTATACATACATGCATGTGTGACACAAAGTAGTGTAGGTCATCAGTAGTGGACACCAATAAGCTAGATTTTCATTCTGCTCTGAGTCAGGCTCTCACAGTGTGGCAATGACCCTCAGGCCTCGTGCCACAATTATATCATTCCTTAATGTGTCATGCACTGGAGGAAATTTTCATAAGAAACAGAGATGATTTGTAAATAACCCATTTTTTTATTTTATTAATTTATCTTTAGTTTTCAACATTGACTTCCATAAGATTTTGAGTTTTAAATTTTCTCCACCTTCCTCTTCTTCACCCTCCTCACCAGGAAGGCGTGCAATCTGATATAGGCTGTACATATACATTCATGTTAAGCATATTTTCCCATAAGTCATGAGGTAAAGAACAATTACAACTAATGAGAGGAACCATGAGAATGAAGCAATAAAACAAAACAAGAAAAAGAGAGCAAATAGCATGCTTCCATCTGCATTCAGATTTCATATTTCTTTCTTTGGGTGTGGATAGCAGTTTCCAACATGAGTCTTTTGAAGTTGTCTTAGATTGTTGCATTGCTGAGAAGAGCCAAGTCTATCAAAGTCAGTCATTGCACAGGGTGACTGTTACTGTGTACGATGTTCTCCTGGTTCTGCTCATTTCACTCTACATCAGTTCATGTAAGTCTTTCCATGTTTTTTTGAAGTCTGCTTGCTCATCATTTCTTATAGCACAATAGTATTCTATTACATTTATATACCACAGCTTGTTCAGCCATTCTTTAATTGATGGGCATCCCCTCAATGTCCAATTCTTTGCCACCACAAAAAGAGCTGCAATAAGTATTTTTGTACATGTGGGTCTTTTTCCTATTTTTATGATCTCTTTGGGATACATACCTAGAAGTGGTATTGCTGATAACACATTTTTTTATATCACCTTAAGGTTTACAAAATTTTTTTGCTTCATAAAACCATAAGGTTTGTGTTGTATGAGGAAAAGAAAGTACAGAAAGGTTCAATAACTTACCCATTGGAAGTGTCAGGGCCATGACAGAGCAGGCATTTCCCATTGTAAGTTAACCTTGATTAGCCAAAACAATAAATCCTTATAGTTAAGGAAGCCAAAATTTGAGGTATTCACTTCATTGCTTTTCATGTACCAGGAATTCCCCCAAAAGGATATGGTGCCTAAGCTAGTAGAATAACTAGGAATAGGTAGTAAGTGGATAAAAACTAATGAAGAAATTACTCTAACAAATACTAAAGATGATTTCTTCAATAGAACATAGAAGGATTGAAAGTTTAAACTGAGGTATACCTTGCTTTTGCTGGGTTTGTTTTTAGTTTTGTTTTATGGTTTGTTTAATTTTATATAGAACATTGGGCTGGATCTAATACATTGAAATTTAATAGGAAACCCAAGTTTTACCCTTGGGTTCAAAAATCTTTATATAAATAAAGGATCCAGGTAAGTAATTGGACAACAGTTTTCCGAAAAAGATCTGAGGGTTTCACTGCACTTCAAGTTCAGTATGGTCAACAATGTGATATCAGTCAATCAACAATCAAAAAAACATTTATTAATTGCCTGACATGTGCCAGGCACTATACTAAGCACTGCATATGGTAACAAAAAAAGCTAATTTCATCTTGTCATTATTTAAGAGAGGCCATAGCTGCCAAGAATAAGTAGGTGAGAGTTTTGTTGTCATCTGCCCTGGTCAGACTATTTCTGGAGTATTATGATTAGTTCTAGATGCTACAATTTAGGAAGAATTTTGAAAATCTGGAGAGCCCATAGAAATGGGTGTCCAGGATAAGAAAGGGCCTTGAATTCATACCATAGGAGGATCACAAAGGAATGGCAATTACTTTATCCATAGAAGACTTAGGAGATTGTTCAGTCGTGTCTGACTCTTTGTGACCCTGTGGACCGTACTGTCCCTGTCTCATATGAAAGAAAGGTAAAACTTCTTGTGTATGGCCTTGGGGGACAGAATCAGGAGGAATGAGGGGAAGTTGCAAAGAGACTCATTGAGACTTGAGGGGAAAAAATACATTACAATTTTTTACTGAGTAAAAGAAGGGGCTGCTTCAAAGCAGGATAGAATGGTTTCATCCACATTAGAGTCTTCATGTAGAGACTGAAAGACCACTTAGTGGATGTGTTGTGGTGGAGATTCTTTTTTTGATATGAGTACTTTTTAGATGAACACCATGATACAGAATTCTTTGATTTTGTGTGTACCCTCATCTATTTTGTAAGTAACTTTGAAGGGTTGAAAGAAAAAATATACACCAATCCTGGGACAGATAGAAGATACTGGGATCTCAAAGACAATGAGGAGGATTCACAAAAGATACCTATTTTCTCTAAGATGTGGTTGTAAAGTAAATATGACCAAAAAAAACCCACTCATTCAGAGGTGTATAAAAAATGTGTGTATGTATAGCCTATATCAGATTGCATGCCATCTTGGGGGGAGGGAGGGGGAGAAAAATTTAAAACTCAAAAGCTTATGGAAATGATTGTTGATAAATCAAAATAAATTAATTTTTAAAAAATTTTTTAAATACCACACACACAAAAAAAACTTGATATCAGCATTATATTAACCTTCCAGAAACTGGCTAGACCATTTTCATGGGTAAAGGAGAACACTATAATTGTCTATGGCTAGTTAGTCCAGTAATACAAAGGACACTCCTTACTGTTGGTAGATGAATAGCAATATTTAAATAAATGGAATTATCATTAAGTCATAACTAAAAAATAGGAAGAAAGTTAACAGTGTGTCTGATACAAGGAGGGTTCTTTTGGGTGGAGATGAAGAAAGGTGTCATTGTGAAGTGTTAGCAATGTAAAGAAGGGAAGAAAAAGTTTCAGTACAATTTTTAAAAAGAAAAAATATATAAAGGACATGAAGGAAAATTTGGGAAAGGGGTTTTTATACACGAATATCTGTAAGAGAATAAAGGTGAGTTTGTGGTTAGAATGATTTTGGGTGTGAAAGGTGAATTTTAGGGTCCAAAAAGAATATGCATGCCAAGATAGGCTGATTAGGGGGAGATAAAGTAAGTCTTCCATGTTTATCCACAGCCTGTTGAATATAGTTGTACTTTATGCTTGAAAAGAAATAAGATAACTTTCTGAGTAGATCATGCTATTGTTATATTGAGAACAGAAGGCATAATTCAAAAACCAGTAAACATCTACTCCTGTATTAAGGATGTCAGCGCTGAAGTGGTTTGCTCACAATGGCTTATAGTACAGAACAGGGTGGAAACGGGCTTGAAGAAAAGCCACTAAGTATCAACTTTTGAGATCTACTGACTTCTTAAACCTCATGCATTGAAAAGGAGCTTTCTAAGGTCTTGTGCTCTCTTTGAAATCTGCTAGGAAGTTTGGGCACCGTCTAGGAAGGCCTTTTCAGTAATAAAGGCTCCCAGACATCAAGCTGCTGATTGAGGGAAAAGAATTGTCTCCCTGAGTTTTCAGGTCTTCTCTGCAGGAGCAGGTTTTAATCTCTCTAGTCTTAAGTTTTTCAGGGAAGCTTAATGCAATGGAGAATGTGCAGAGTCAGGAGACATGGTATTCCCATCCCTACGATCCCTAGTGCTTGAACTGCCTCCCTACCAGGGTTGTTGTGAAGAAAGATATTTATAAACCTGAAAACACAATTTAAATGTGAATTTGTTATTATTTTATTGTGAGCTGGGGATACAAAAGTGAAACAATATCCCTGCCCTCAAAAAGCTTTATAATCTTAACAGCAATGATAGAGTGTACACAGATAACTGTGCTACAGAGTAGAACATGAAGGAGAAGGTAATCAAATGCTTGTATCAAACAGTTCTACCCAGACACTGAATGACACCTAAGCTTTCTAACCTGAAGGGTTGCTAAGGTGTATTATATAACAAGAGTGTCCTTCCTCTCTTGCAATCTCAGTATCCATTCTACTTGACATTAAGAAATCTTGAAATTTTTAAATAGACTTTGATGGGTTTTTTTTTATTTTCCAGGCTGAAGAAGAGGGTTACTTTGAAGCCTTCAAAAATGAACTCGAAGCGTTCAAGTCAAGAGTAAGACTCTATTCTCAATCACAAAGTTTTCAACCTATGTCAGTTCAGAATCATGTTCCTCACATTGGTGTTGGATCTATAGGTGTATTAGAATCCTTACCACAGGTAGGTGTGGAGAAGTAATCATTTGTGCTATTCCTGTCATTCCCTTACTGAATGATTTCTGAGTAATCATGACTATTAAAATGTTCCCATCTTAATAAGTATACTAATTTGGTTACTCTCTGATCATGTTGTATATTTGTCCAAAGTCAATGAACTTCCCTGTGTATTGTATTGTCTGTCTCTTTGTGCCACTTTTCTGCAGCCACACACCCCTTTTCCTCTCCCTGATACCTGTGTCACCCTACTCTGGCTGTAGTATAGAACTGAATCCTTACCATTTAGCACACTTCTTGCATGGAATAGGCATTTTATAAATGACCAATGGAATGAAACCTGTTGTATTTCTTGACTAGAGTGTTATGTTCTCCATTCTGAAATATTGATGTAGATAAGTGAAATATTTTATATGTCTCCTTCTTTAAAAATAATTTTTAGAAGCCAAAAATGAGTTTTACTTGCTCTTCAATTGATGTTTTTGGTTTTGTTTTTAATGTGGGGTCATTAGTCCTCAATAGGAAGAAAATAATATCACTTTTAAGGTTTGACTTTGAACAGACAAAATTCAGATGCTGAAGAGGGCTCTTTTTTCTCTCATTTGGTCAGTGTTTTTCTAATTCAAATTGTTTTCAGTATTTGCTAATATGGTATTTGTCATTTAGAATTCTAAAATATTACTGTGGTAATAAGGTAAGTATTCAAGACTGATTTCTGAAATTGTCACATTCTTTTCAATTTGTGTTTTTGAAAGTTGTGGAATTAAAATCATATGCGTCACCTGATACTAAGTTGTTGAATAGTTGAAATCATTGTATCCTTATTTTTCTTGGAAGAAGCAAAGTGAAACTGGAATGTCTTTTCGCATCAACTTTCACATAACTGATTTCTTGTATTTTTCTTCCATTTCCCTGCTCCAGAATCCAGATTATCTTCAGTATTGTACAAATACAGCGCTCTGCAGCTTAAACTCAGTCGTTCATAAAGAGGATGATGAACCGAAAATGATGGACACTGTATAGTTCAGTTAAGACTGCTGAGGCCAAGTGCTATTTTGTTACAAGAAAGGAAGAACTTGGCTGTCTTCTTGACACTTTTATGGGTGCTGCACTTTATTTTTGTTTGGTTTTTGATGAGAGGGGAAGAAAGTACTGAAACATTTTGTAATTTTTTTTCTCTTTTTTTGGAAAATATGCTGCTAGGTTTTTTGTTTTGTTTTTGTCTTTCGGGGGGAGGGGTGGTTTTTTTTTTCCCTTGGAGGGAGGAGAGGTACACCATATGTTGCAGGATGTGAAACTGGACTCTTTTTTTTTTTTTTTGGCTACTAAATTTGCCTTTAATCTTATTGTTCTCAATTTTGGAATCAAAGTATGAAAATCTGCACAAATACAATGTTTACAAGAACTGGTTGATTCTAGGAGGCATCTGCTACAGTCTCTTTTTATATAGACATTCGTGTCCTACTCTACAATTAAAGATAAAATGTACTTGTATCATATTGCTAACTTAGATGTCAAATCTGGTGTTTCATCATATTAAAAGCAATAAATCAGTAACTGATATCCACTTAACAGAGCTGGGTGGTAAGCAATTAAAACAAATATCTTACCTTATTAGGATTAAATTTTTATTTTTTATCTCCAAGATATCTGTCAGTTCTAGCCTTTAAATGGATGTAATAACAACAATTCATGTTTTCTATGGTGTTAAGGTTTACAAATCACTTTCCTCATGATAACCCTGTGAGGATAGGTGGTGCAAGTATTTTTATCTTACAGATTAGGAAACCAGGGCTCTGAGAGGTCTTGTAATTTCTCCCCCTGTGGTCACACAATTAGGAAGTGTTGATCAGAAGTGGGATTTGAACGCAAGTTTCTTCTTTCCACTACACCAGGATGTAATTTGATACTTTAAGAAATTCACCCCAATGTCTATTCAGTGCTACATTGAATAAATGGTATTCTTTACTAGGTGATTTTACTTGATTATCACACTAACCCTTCATTAAAAACAAAAGACAAACCTCAAACTCCAGAGCACTTTTCAAAATTGGTGAAGTGCTTTCCTCACAACAGCCCTGTGTGAGGCAAGTAGTGCAGGTGTTATTTTCTCCCCATTTGCACATGAGGGAAACTATAATTAAAGAGAGTTAAACAATTTCCCAGAGATCATAAGGCCAGTAAAAAGGCCAAACCTGGACTTATGGCCAGGTCTTCTGACTTGAAATCCAGTGCTCTGTCCACCAAACCACAATACCCATTGCTCATTATAGATACTGCAAAATTAAAAAAAAAAATTCACCTGAGTCCTTCTTTAGAATAAGAACAACTTAACTCTCATGTTTAACTTCATTCCACTAGATGACCTGAAAATATTGGGTGGAGGTGGGGGGTAGATGGGGAGGGTAGGATCCATAAATTGCCTGTAGACTACATGTACAGTACTTTCAAGTTATAGGATAATTCAATTTAAAAAAAAAAAATGACTTCTTGTTTATTTTATTCTGTTATAAGAACTTAGTCCCCTGAGCATATTGTTAATAAGGATAATCACATTTACATAGTGCTTTAAGGGTTAAGTGGCTTCATACAAAGCTGAGTGATTAAAACTGCTCAATAAAGGCTAGTTTTTTTTTCTTACAAAAATGGTTACTTTGTCACTGGTAAATTTCATTAAACTCTAGCCCAATCACAGGAATTTTCTGACTTTTATTTTTTATAGTACTTGCTTCCAAATATGCTGTAATATTTATTTTCATTGGTGTCAGTATCGATATTAGCTGTTTTCTTTTGATAAAGATAAAATGCAAGTCCTACCATTAGGAGAACATGAGCTCAGAGTTATTTTGAGAAATGTGGTCTTTCACTTGCACTTCTCTGAAACGAGCCATATACACTTATTTACTCTTAAAAGTTGCAGTCTGTATTTGAGAACTAATAAAGCAAACAGACTCATTATTGCTACCCTGTTCTTACCAATTGAACTAATAGTCATTAACTGAGAATGTGAATCAAATATATTTCATGTGCCTCAATTCTCTCAATTTCAGAGCAAAATGTTGTGATGGGGGAAAAAACTGCTTTATGCAAATAGGCTGTTTTGCCTATATAATATATTTGTTGGTATTCAGTGCTGACCACAGGAACACATTGAGAAAGAGGGCATGGAGGGATTTGGGTCTTTGCAGACAGAAGGTAGGAGAAGAAGAGAGAAGAACTGCAATTAAATTGCAGAACTATGGCATTTTGAAGTTTTGATGACTCCTTAGCCTGCAATCATTTCATTTAGGTCCCTGTTTAAATGAGGCTTGCAGAAATGCCTTTCAAGTTTTTGTTCTCTTTCTATCCTTCAGCTTCCTAATGAATAAAGAGATTTTTTTATCTCCTAGAAGCCAGCTCTTGGCTATCAATTACAAACACAGAAGTGAAATATGGGGTTAAAATCCTCAGAGCCAACTTAATCAACCTTCATTTTAACAATTGCCTTCAACTTTCTTTCACCTTCACTGCCTTCCAAGAGTTGCTTTTGGGCAACCAGATCTTAATAATCAGAGTGGCCAGAAGACAGAAAAGAAAAACTTAAGGTTGATGAATAGCCTGAAAATTTCCTTCTGAATAAAGGACTTTATTACAATTGGAAGCTACAAAATCAAGTTCTAAAATTTGGTCATAGTATTTTAGCTCTGAAAGAAATTTTTTTTCAAGCTTCTGAGTTTATTACAAAAGTGCTTATCACTTTTGGCCCATTCAATTAGACAAATCTCTGGGCCGTGAAGTTATTTCACATGGATCTGTATCCATATGCAGTAATATTTAATGCATATTAGTAATACAAATACTCTCATGTAGGAGTGTGTGGAGTTTTGTTTTTTAACTTAAGGGTCCTTTTATTCAAAATTGAATGAGGGACCCCTTATTAGGCCATAATTGGTGTTAAAAGTGCTGAGGTAGCTAGGCTGGTAGCCTTTGTGCAAACTTAAAAACTTAACATCTTGAAATTATACTAGGATAACACTAATAATTTAGGCAATAGCAGGCTTTCTCTTTTCTTGATATATGTTTTTTTCAAGTGACAGCAATAAATTGGCATATCTACAAAATAGTGATATACCAGCAGAGAAATTGGGTTAACATCCATTTGAAATGTTTTCAACCAACTAGACCAAACAGTTGAAGTTACCAACAAGCCCCATAGAACATGTTGGCCTACTAGACAGAACACTTGTATATTATGTTCCTATTTCATATTTCCAAGTAGAATATTTTAAAATAGTCAAAGTAGCTATCATTCTCCCACATCTTTCTTTTATTGCCAAGGGCACTTGAAGTGATACTGCCTGTAAACTTTTACCCTTCAATGATGTCTTTGAGATTTTTTTCATGGATGGTAAGTGTGAAAGTAAGTGTTCATCCTATTGCAAACTGGTAGTCATCTGTTTCTGTGGAGCTTTGCCTAGATTAGGAAATTTGACCAATAAACCATCTCCTAAATTATGCCTTGTATTGATTCAAGTTAGTCACCATCCCTTTTCTGATCAGTATCTAAACTGACATGTAAAAGGTGAACTATCTGGTTCCAAAAGAAAAGTCAGGTATCATTACAATTTAAATACTATCTTGAGTTCTTTATTCAATATTTCAGATATTTCATCAGTATGTAATGCCCAGAAAAAGGCAGATTACAACCCCTCTGCATTTTAGTAGATGGTCTCTGAGAATTGCCATAATAAAAAAAAAAATCAATTCATCACTTTATAGTTAACCTGGTGATGAGCCTCTCTGAATTTCACTAGGCTGGTCCTCCAACAATACTCAAAGAGCCTATAATTAAATCCTTTCCAGCTTAGCAGTACCTGCCAGAACTAATGCTCTATTGGCATAACTTTTAAGAACCCAGGGTTACCTGTTTATCCTGATGAGACATCAGAGTAGGAGATAAGTTCTTTGGAAGATTAATATAAAGTGTTAGAAACATTTAGGCCTTTTGAAATGCATGTAATGTGATGAGATGTGCCAGATACTTTTGATATTTACAAATTTTGGCAGATACATGTCAGGGAGGTAAAGAAAAAGTACTGAAGTCTACAAGGGATGTGTCTGTGTGTCTCTGTGTGTACACACATATACCTGCAATGGGCCTGGAGTCAGGAAGACCTGCATTCAAATCTAACGTTAGACAGCTTATTAGCTGCATAACCCTGGGCAAGTCACTTAACCTCTATTTGATTGTAAACTGCTGAGCACATAGTGCCATATAAATCTTAATTGTTGTTATTACAAGTCTAGCTAGTCCAGCACTTAGGTCTTTTTAAAAAAAAAAATTTAGTGTTTAATTCTGTAACCACAGGAGAACTGTAGACTGAACATATGTAATTCTGCCATTTGTCAATTTGTCTGGGCATATTTTCTTTGAGTGATGAGTGTAAAAATGACAGCTAACATTTATATAAGTACTTTAACTTTCACAACTTATTTTTATAGATTTCATAGATGAAAAAACAGGCTGAGAGAAGGGAAATGACTTACCCAAGGACAGAGATAGCATCTAAGACAGGATTTGAACTCCTGACTCCAAGAACAGCACCCTGTCACCTCTGCTACCCTCAATACATTTTAGAATAAAAGCAAAAAATCTATTCTTGCAATCAGTTGCAAACATGAACAGTCATTTTAAACAAAGGACCATTTCATTTCTTTTTATTATTTTCAAATTGGTGCAGGCCAGTTTCTGTCACTGCAAACCTTAAGGAGTTTGCCAAAATATTCAATATTAGAATTTCATTGGATGTTGGCTGAAAATATGGGTTATAGGTTGAGGCTTGAAATGTTTTTGTTTCAACCCATGTCATGAGACAGAGACACTAGTTTCTAGCATCTCTTTTTCATGAGACAATATGCTAGTATGGAATAGTGTGAGTATCTGGAATCAGACAACCTGGGTTCAAATTCCAGCTCTTCTACTTATTGTGTGACCTTGGAAAAGTCATATGACATGACACATGACATAAAGATGAAAGGAATAACTAATAAAATATATGACAGACCCAGAATCCAAAAAGTTCTTGGTAAGTATAAGGAATGAACCAAATCTATTAAGATGAAATTTAATGAAAATAAATGTCACGTCCTATATTCAGGACCAAAAATAAGCTGAATGGATAAAGGATGGGAGATACGTGGTCAGACA